AGATCTTGTCGTATTGAAGCTTTTAATTTAGTTCTGGAAAATAGTCCACTTTTATTTGAACACTGTTAAAATTGAAATTTGTTATATTGTTAACTTCGGTGATCGACGCTATCCAAACGAGTGAAGGCATCATTTTATCATAACCTTGTTTGACTGTGAATGGATTGTGTGTGGAACTTATTTGTGGCCTTTTTCCGGATGTTATTTTCATAGTGTAATCGCATTTCTCAACTAATTGACTATTTGTCTTTGTACGGTTTGGAGCCTAAGGAATAATCACAACAACAGCCCCCATGTTTGCAAGAATCGATTTAGTTCTAACTGGTGAAGTATCTGTTTGATAGGCCAAAATCGCTTACTAAACGGCTCGCTTCATTCCACCGTGGAATTGATCGAATGGAAATAACCGGCCGACGTGTCTAGTGTGCTCGACTAAAGCGGAGTGAATTTTTGTCGGTTTTGGATGAATCAGAAGAGGTCAGGCGCAATCACTTACAGTGTGATTACATACCAATTGGCGCTCCTGTTTTTCCTCTCCCTGTAAGCTTCCACTCTCCTGTATGCACTGCTTCCTGAATAAATTCACTACTTGCATATTCGCTTTTTCAGCCAACCAAAACGTTAAGGGACAAACTATCGCGAACGCAAGTAGCGCGGTCATTCGTTTACGGTACTTTCGGGTTATCTGTTGGAGTGGAGGAGATAGCAACTGAAATAAGCACTAGATGACCGAAATGGGCTCAACGTTGGTTGCCGCATCCAGAACGAAGAAGAGACCTATCTTTGTAATGTACTACTCATAAGGTTGCTGAAAACCGTCGATAGCCCACGACCGGTTTCGCCCCTTTTTGGGGCTCACCAGGTAGTCGCAGTTCCCGGGTTTCCGTCAGCCAAACCAAATTGCATGAACAGACCTAGTTTGCTGAGGTGAATTCCAGGCCGTGGCTAGGTCGTAATTCAGGTCTACTTGCATAAAACTTTCTGCTGGGAGGTGACAGAGAAACAATAGAATTTGTTTTTTTTGTTTGATCATCCGGTAAACGCAGGCCCATATGACGCACACTTGTTCTGTAGTTTGACGAGCTTTTAACAGACCGTTTGTTTTGAGTTAAATTTGAATCTTTGGTAGAGGCTTAATGATGTTTCTGAAAAGTGTTTTTACGTGGCCACTCATCTCAAAGGTGTCCCATACATCGTTCAAAAAATTAGACGGCTGTCTTTAGCTTGTTAGATCTTAGCCACCGGCACACTGGAGTTCATCCAGTTCCCATCACCCTTTTAAGGGAATGAGTCTGCCTGTGTCCAAAAGTTGCGTCCAGTCAATAGGGGGAAATCTCCTAAGCGCATGTGTGTTATGGTAACGCGCATTGCGGTGACTGAATCAAACTTGACCATACAATGGCTACCCGGGATATCCTTCGGTCAAAATTTGTCTGCTTGTTAGTCCACGAAATTCCCGTTTTACTGAATAGAATCCGCATTCCTACTTATTGCTGGTTGGTGCGCGCCCTTCAATCGGGAATCAAAGTTGGACAACCATTCATCCGTGCACTGTGTATTAGCCTGCACACATTTCTCGGGAGTCTGATGTTCCCATCCCGACCTGTGCCTCTCGAATTCCCCTTTCTAGGCTTGGGCAACCTGGCTACATCCCAATCCTCGTGCATCGTTCTAGTGGTTTGGTAGCTAGACACCAAAAGTGTGCCGAAGGATTTTTTAAATTCAATGTTGCGCTTCTCCGTGAACTTTTTTAAACAGCCTAACCAACCTAGAGAAACAACCGTATTTTCAAGTCACGCGGTGGTACTCGTAACCTCATGGTAAGGGTTCAGATGATGGATGGCCTATGTTCATTGCCCAAACTAAGAACAAATGCGGGTAACTGCTTGGGTTCGTTTACCGGCACGTAAGCATCACGCGTTCACACAGTGATTTATGTATTCCCCGTCCGATCTTTATGACTCCAAGCGAACAGTTCCTTGAGTAGTACCGAAGGTACGTTCGGTTTATGTGCGAAGCACACGTTTGACCGGATACTCTACTGACTTTTGGACACGGTATTTCCGGAAAATAGTAGTAAATGGCAGCTTACACGATTACCTTTTGTGATTTATTGTCCAGCTGCACCAACGGTGTGCATTCCACCAGAAAAGTCATTCGCAGTTGCGAAGGAAGAATGCCACGTCGATTTTAAGTAGTTTGCTGTTATGAGAACACTGAGTGTAGGCTTCGTTTTCGTACATCTGAAACGCTAAAACCAGATATATCTTGTATATAGCCTAACTGATTGGTGTTCCTCTGATGTTTGTTCAAACATCCAAGCCGAATTGGGCCTACACTGCATATACTTCTGAGTGATACGTTCTGACGCACCAATGACAATAGTAAAAAAGAAGCATTTCAGTAGCATGGGAAGACCTCTGTTCGTCAAACCACGGACATCCGTTCTTCCTTGGAAGAATTTTGGACACGGAAGCACGCGAGATTGTCCATCTCAGCACATCGCGCATTATCCCCGGAAATTTTGGTGCTCATTTGTGGAGTCAGCAGATGCTGTCCATACAAAATTAGCTCCGATTGAACGAAACAGTTTGCTTCACCTAACTGCTCAAAGCATCTAGTCGTTTAACGGTGCTGTCCTCTCTCGTTTCTATGGGCGCTAAATCGAAATTCGCTTCTCCTAAGGAAAGATATTTGAGGGACTTTGTCAACTCATGTTTTAATTCTATTTTCCAATCAATGGGTGCCCGGTATACCATCGTCATTGTCAGCTGTTATAACCGCGTACCCGTCGTACAGTGGTTGTAGCTACCGCAGTTTCGTTCACCGATGATTTGGGGGGAGGGGTAGGTAGCTGCGCATTACAGGAGGGAGCTGATAAATTGGTGCATAAATCCAGCACTGTCAGTGGGCTGTCAGGTGGTGAGGGGGTTGGAAAAGGAGCTATGCATTGAAGGCAATAGCTTGGATGCACGAGCGCCATTGAGGGTACGACTGGGCCATATCTGACAATGTCTCTAGCCATTGATGTGGTCCCCATCCAGGAAGACGGCAGTGACCAGCGCAGCTGAGTTTGCCGGTAATGGCCTTCATACTTCGCTGCCAAGTCATTGTTTGACCGCCTCTGGCTCTTTTCCACCTTTCACCCGGTATATGCTATCCTAAATGTTGATCATATGGTTACTCTGAGGTTATCGACTACGACGTGACGGTACGTTAAAAGGCAGTCTCCAGGACGAGTTGTACAGCACCATATCAGAGGAAGTGTCGTAGTAACGCGTGACTTAAAGTACTTGACGATGCCTCCACAATGAACAAGAACTGGTACCTATAGTTATGACATCATGTCTAGACCGACCGCTGGCTTGCATTCTACATGTTCATTCATCGACCTCATTCTATTGTGTCTCTGTCAGCTCCGATCGCTTGCAAGAAGCGACACATTCGAGTCCCCGTACACATCGTGTGGATGAAAAATGCAGTTTGGTAACCCGGAATATTCAGACATCAGGGATAGAGAAGAGACTATCGGCGTTTTGATAAACTCGCTTGGGTAAATTGTAGCCTCAAAAGACAACTACTGTACTGTCGGCGTTTACCAGGTTACTGCGGTTTGAAGCCTTGTCATTGGGTGAGTAAGCACAGAACTGATACGTTCATTCCCCTTACAGAATTTTTCCCGTATTAAAAGGTCCTATCGGAACGTAATAACCACCTAGTTGAGTCACCTTAAGATACCCACTATCCACTAGACTTCACTTTCAATGAAGCATTCAAAATTTCAATGGTTTCTTTGGCATATGTTGGTGTTGTATCGTGGGTGGCCTTCTATGGGTTACGCCTGCCAGACTACGCGATAGGGAGAAGATAGAGAACTGGGGACACGGCTGTATTGCCAGGACAAAACATACAGAAC